CGGGTGGGCCCAGTGACGCGCTAGCCCCGCCCACCGAGCGGGGCCGCGGCGCCGCAGGGAGAGGGCGGGCGTGACCAGCGGGCAGGAGGAGGGGCTAGGAAAAGGGTGGGCGATTAGGTGAGGTCAGGAGCAGGGGGTGGGGCTAGAGAGAGGAGGCGGGGCGAGGCAGGGGCTAGAGCCTGGGGGCCTGCAAGGGGCTGAGGAACCTGTGGTGGGGGGAAGGGAGGGGTCCCTCAGTGCGCACCAGCTGCAACCCCCGCCACAGGAGCTGGAGAGGGCTGCTAGGACCCCCAGTTGGGGTGCTCTGCAGGCTATGGCTGCTCTAGCCCTGCAGGTAAAGGCCTGCTTGGGTGTGAGGCAGGCTGCCCATTAAACCACACATGGGTGGCAGGAGGCATGAAGGTGGGATCCAGCATTGCATCCCACTGCACCTTATTGCTGCTGTTGTGCCGCCGGGCTCAGCCAGCACCAGCAAGGAGGAAGCTCAGCGGCAGGGAGCACCCCAGCAGGGGGTCACAGCTAGGGTTGCCCACTCAGAACCTATGCTGGGAGACTTTTTTTCCCCTATGTGACGCAATGTCATTAATTTCATTTTTTTTAAATATCCTATTAACATCTCCCAGGTGGCTTTCAGTAGTTGGGGAGATGGATGCTGATTCAGGTAGACTCCCAGCCAATCCAGGAGGGTGGCAACCCTGGTCACAGCATGTGGTGGACCCCTGTGGCTGCAAGCTTTGTGGGCAGCTGGGGCTCTCAGCTGCCAGGGAGCAGCAGTGTGCCCTGATGTTAATCAGTGTGCCATTAATGGCCTGGTAAGAACAAGCCACAAAGTTATTATGCATTTTTGTGGAATAACTTTGTCGCTTAGTCTTTATCATCAATTGCTTTAATGCATGCCCGGGTCACAATTTAAGACCTGATTAACTGGTGAATCATTCCATAAGTGTAATGTGTGGATGGGGCCTAGGAAGGTGCATCTCTACCCTGCCTTCAAACTAACATGGCTGACTACCTCTCATCTAAACATGCCAGTGCTGGGTCCCAGCTAGTGGCCACCTGTGCAAGGCTGGTGGGGTACATGGTGCTGACCCTACATTATTTCTCCTTCCTCAGTTGTGCTGCATCAGACTGACCCCACAACAAGCACTCCCCTAGTGTCATCTCTCCAGGCAGGTACTTGCTTCGGTGGCCAGGGGGCTACTGCTACGTGAGGGAGTGAGAAGACCAGTGGTCTGCAATATGGGATCTGGGACTGAAACATGGGCGCTGGGAACATGAGTGGAGACAATAGCTCTACCAATGCATGACCCAAGCTCTCTAAAGCCCTAGAAGCCCTAGTGTCAAGGTTAGGAGTCCTGGCACCAAAACACTCCCCCTGTCTACACAGCTCCTGCTCTTTGATTGCATTGTGGGTGCCTTCAGGGCTTGCAGTCTCACTAGAGAGATCCACCATCCCAAACTTTCTAGGACAGTCTAGAACTTCATGGCTGTGTCCCTAGAGAATCCCTGGAGCAGTAGTTTTACCCTGATCTTGAAATATTTGGTCTCAAAGCTTCCCTAGTGTTCCAGCAGTGCCAAGAAGAGTCTTCCCAAGGGAGTGCAGCCAAATGGGGATCCAGAGGAGGCCCAGTGACAAAGCTGCACCACTTCCCTTGGGTTGTGGCAGGAGCCTCCCAGGACTTTTTTAAGTCCCTAAGCAGGTGAAAACCCCCCTCCCTTCCCCTTGGTGCTCAGAGGCATATCCTCTCCCCTACTGCTCCCTGCCTGCCCCCTCCCCTACCTGTCGTTCCTGCTGTCCTGGGGGTGGGGGAAGCTCCAGAGCCACTTCCGCCTGCCCCAGCTGGGGCTGCACAGGGGCTGACATCAACTGGAGACAGAGACCGATGTTACCCCTAGAAATGTCCCTATTTTCTAAAGTAAAATTTTAGCGTCTAAAAATGTAACCAAGACAACAGTCCAGAGTACAGAGGCAGGGTTGGTTCTTCCCCCAAACAAATCAGGTTGCTCCTTTTCAGAAGAATTAAATTTCTGGCCCTTACAGAAATATCCTCTGAGTGGCCCACACATCAT